ATAAATCATACTGGAAAGTGATTTGGGGTTATAACTTTTTTTCCAGTATTAGTACTGCTACTAGGGATATAATTTCAGACCCCCCCCCAACTATAATCTATTAGAAGCTTAAAAGTACAACTAAATTATGCTAAATAAGTGTGTTGTGGCATTACTCTTATCTATATTATTCTGCTTTCTACCGATCAGAGAGTGAGTAGTACTAACCCATCAGCTTCACTATAAAATTCAAAAGGTCACATTAGTATATCCCAGTTCTTTCTTCTGGCTGCCGTATAGCTGCATATTTGACTGTATGGATCTTGTCTGCATCTGTCATGACTGCATAATTTGGTTCCTTACTAGACCGCAACACATTTTTATGAGAAACAATTGCTATATTGTTTGAGTTCTAGAGAGTAGGTTGCTAAATAACGGCAATGAATCGTGCTATGACATTTTCAAATTTTCAAATGAAAAACAGTAGGGCTTTTTAGATGCTGAAATGTGCAAGGGATATAGCTGATGTTGGTAACAAAAGTAGAATTGAGATTTCAGTTTATTTGAGATTGCAGAAAAATATTCCATTGTAGGTTTCCATAGCTACATGTGGTAACCTGTACAATAACCAGCTATGTCCATGGATATAGGCTGTCCTCTGTTCAGAGAAATTCTTTTTCTCCTAATTACAAGAGGAAGCAAAATGAAACACATAACAAATGTGGAATGATTCTAATAGCTTGACTATGCTCGCTCGCTTAGCAAACAATAACTTGGAGTGTATCTACAGTATACGAGAACCCAGGTTGCTCATATGTTATTTATGGGATTTATCTGGGGGAAGAGCAGTAAATGGAACTCATGCCCACTACCGGGCAATATAACATGAGTTACACAGACATATTTCTTCCCCTCTGATCTGAAAGAATGATCAGACACTCAGGGACAGTGCTCTGGTCATGTTCCACCTCCGAGGTGCATGGAGTAGGACATGCTACTTGTTCTGTGGAGAGCACATTATGAATTGAATGGGGCTAAAATTTGCATTTACACTGGAGTCACTGGATAGACATTCCTGCTCCAATTAGTGTCTTGGGGAGGAGATGGTGTCCTGACCCAGAAATTAGAGATGGCAATACATGAATTTCTTTGCTGGTAATGTAACAATGGTTGAATCACTGGGTACAGATGACCTACATGACAGCAGAGATGGGCAGGCTGCAGAACCCCTCTTCCAAGCATCAGACTTAAGCATTCATAGCCCCCTCTAAAGGGTCTTCCAGTTGTGCAGTTGAAATAAAGAGATGCAGTTGCTGCTGAAGGCTGCTTTCTCTCTTTCTCTCTCTGTAAAAGGGAAAGTATGGGAATACAGTTTAAAAGTAAGGAAAGGGAGGAGGTCAGGAAAACAAATTGTTTAAATATTAATGATTCACTTATTTAACAATGATTAATAATGACTGATTGAAGGGAATGGCTTGCTCTAGTCGGGGAGCATCAAGGAAATCGATGCCTTGCTTTTTAAAAATTCATTGTCCACTGTGATAAACTGTACCAAACTTCTCCAATATGAAGAACACCCAATTCTTAAGTGTAATTAACATTAACAATTAATGAATATAATTAACATTATTAAGTAAGGTGGCAAAATAAAAAGATGGGAATGGAAGGGTAGAGTAATAGACTCAAATGATGGCGGAGTGGAATCAAGGAAATAGATTATTAGGCATCAGGTTGTGTCTTCACTGTCCTTCCCATTGTTCCACCAGCCTCATCTATTTCTGAGAGTGTGAATCTCAGTACTTTACAGGAGACTGAATGTGGCCTTGAAAACAGAATAAGCTTGTTCACTTGTAGGAAGCTTGGAGCCCTCTGGCTGTTTTAGTCGGCGGCTCCCACAAGCCTTTGTGGCTGAGAGGCAGAAAGGGGCAGAGGTCTAAATCATCTGAAAGGTCCCAGGCTGCTGCCCTTGCCCCACAGCCTTTAACCAAGATTAAGATGTAAGCAGCAGATTGTCTAACAAAAAGGGCACTGATTGCTAAAATTATCCGTTTTATCAGAATATTGGGAAGAAGTTGACTGCTTTTTTTGTTTCTTTTTTTTTAAAAGGGGTGAATTAAAAAAATCGCAGGCGTTTTTAGCTTATAATCTATTTTCTTTTTAGCGGAAACCGTATGTGCCATATTTTAAATGTGCATGTTTTTATCATTTACTGCCT